AGTGGCACAGTATCTGGAGCCAGACTGCCCAAGTTCAAATTCTAGTTCTGCCCAGGGTGAATTTGGGCACGTTACTCTACTTCCCTTCTCCGAACAGGTTTCCTGGTATGTAAAACGGGAATAGTAGTGCTGACCATGTAGGATTGAGAATTAAAGGAATCAGACTGAAGCCTTAGAGCAGTGTTTGGCTAACAAAAAAAAAAAAAAATTATCCATGATTCTAAAGATCATCTCAATCTGATGTAAATGGAAAAACTGCTTGACAATTGAACTGTGAGATTTACTTATTTCAGTGAATCAGAAGGATTAACCTAAGTATTTAACAGTTTTTAGTTGGCCCCAAACTGGTTCTTACAGAGTATTGGAAGCTGACTTCAAGGCCAGAACACAACCTTTGTGCTTGACAGCGGGAGCCCTCTTCCTTAGTCCCTCTTTTTTTTTTTTTTATAATTTTTATTTATTGATTGATTTTTCCCCCAAAGCCCGAGTAGATAGTTGTATGTCATAGCTGCACATCCTTCTAGTTGCTGCATGTGGGATGTGGCCTCAGCATGGCCGGAGAAGTGGTGCGTCGGTGCGCGCCCGGGATCTGAACCCGGGCTGCCAGCAGCAGAGCTGGTGCACTTAACCACTAAGCCATGGGGCCGGCCCCTTAGTCCCTCTTACTAACCTGCTTCCCTGTAGGAAAACTTCTTTGCTGACTAGGAATCTGCTTGTCCTAAAACCAGTTTTAACCTATGACTAGAAAGATTGGCATTAAAGTGGCAAGCAGTGGAAGTGAACACGACTGAAAATAAATGCCCTTGGCGGCTCCGGAAGTGTCAAAAAAAATGGACTGAAGAAATTCTAGCAGATGATAACACCCGCATGTTCCAGCCAGGAGGAGGGGCGGGAGAGATTTGAATACTTGGCCCTGCTAGTCCCAGCAGTGTGGCAGCGCGTGTCCCTCTGTGCAGGTTGAAGTTCATGTCTGAGCCTGATATTCAGAAACATCTCCATATTCTGGGCATTCCTGTTGGAGTGTTCCTGAGAAGGTGCCGCTCAGAGCCCCACAGGGGAGTTTGTAGCCTGCTGTGAAGGCTTGGTATTGACTATAAGGTCTATGCAGATTTTCACTGAAGGTTATGTATTGTTCTTCCATGTTAACCCTTGCAGAGACAATTAGACAACTGCAGGCTGACTTCTATATGCATTAAAAACCCTGAGTTTCTTGGAGCCAGTGAACTGCCAACATGTCTGGGTAGCAACGTTAACTGTTTAGGTAAGCAAGGCTCCTGGGACATGGGCGCCTTGAAGTAAGTTTGCGGAGTCTGATTCCATCTGTGTAAGCGACAGTATAAGCAAGTAATTCTTCGACACTTCCGGGCATTCGTTCAATACGAATGTAAACAGCCGCATATGCAACTAGGTACAAGTGACTTCCAACCCCCTGACCCAAATGGACAGAGATATTCATTCTAAGTATTAGAGCTAGAAGGAAAACTAGATCTAGTCCAACAGGTTAATTTCTGAAAGCAATAGAACTCTTTTCAAATTCTTACATCAAACTCGAATCTTCAAAATAAAGCCTTCCTGGTTGAAACAAGTGGAACAGCCAGGTTCCCTGCTGTCATGGCCTTTCCCCCCACTTCAACCACCCCTTTGGCCCTAAGTCAATCTTGTGAAAGATTGAGCCATAGGGCTCTGAAGAACCCACTAAAAATCACCTTTACTCCAACTTTTCACCTTTCTGCGCAGGTCAATTCTGGAATAAAAAGTGCCTAGCACTTCTACTTTTGAGGTGATTTTTTGAGACGTCATTGGCTTTAGCTGAGCCTAAGAATTAAAAGAACTTAGAGTGTAGACGATTTCAAGTTCAACCTGTTCCCTTTATGAAAGCACAATATTGAACTTGAGACTTAACTGTCAGGGATGGAAATAGACTACAGGTCCACAATCCTGTAATCCCCAAAGCTTTGGAAACCAAAAGCTTCTTAACTCGTTTGGTGCTTTCAATTCTCCTGGAGCCCTGTGCATTTCCAGTTGAGCACCAGATGTGTAAAGGGAGAATCTTTTTGAAACTTGGACAGAAAACCCACGCTGTTGCCGTCAGGTGGCTGAGGTCTTGCCGCTCTGCATGATGCGGGGAATTAAACAGAATTAGGGAGCACTTTCTGTCCAGTAGCGATCTAAGTGCTTAGGAACCTAACAGACATGGACAAGGTCTGTATGCGCCTCTCTTTAAAGGGTCCTTTATAAAGCCCACTAGCCTTACCCACCCCACCCTGCTCCTCTCTTAAACAAGTAGGGACATTCATGAGGATACTCCACTCCTAACCCCAAGTGTTCCCCCTTCTTAATGGAGAGTCGTGTGTGTCGTGGTAAAACACAGCTTTATAACAACCAGGCAGAAGCTTGGGTGAGGTGGAAACATCTGAGATGAGAAAAGGTAGAAATTAAATTCCTTTTTGTCTTACAATATCGGAATAAACACTAAGAAAACACTTATGTCTCTCCTGAGCCTGCCTAATATTGTCTCTTGAAGCAGCATTGCTAGGACTTTAATATCATTTATTACTATTGATAAGCTTGTATGTTACAGCTCCATTCAGAGACCCTCTTGAAGGTGGTAGAGGACTAAACATCAGCCTTAGCATATTGTGTGCCCATATTTAATCCCAGGCCAGCTTGAATGTCTATAAAATCTATAGCTTCAACACTTTTTTTTTTTTTGATGAGGAAGATTAGCCCTGAGCTAACACCTGTGGCCAATCTTCCTCTTTTTTTGCTAAGGAAGACTGGCCCTAGGCTAACATTCATGCCCATCTTCCTCTACTTTATATGGGACACCTGCCACAGCATGGCTTGATAAGCAGTGTGTAGGTCCACGCCTGGGATCCAAACCTGTGAACACCGGGCCACTGAAGCAGAGTGTGCGAACTTAAACCACTATGCCACCCGGCTGGCCCCTCAAAACTCATTTTTAGGGAGATCTTCCAGGCACCTAACCCTGAAATGGAAAACCATCACTTGATGCCTACTTTTAAGTCCCTGTCCAAGTCTGATTATATGGTTACCTTTTTGACAAGGTAGATATCAATGTCAATGTTTTTGTCTCATTTTGACTGCACAACCTTTGGTAACTAAAACCTTTGAAACATTCAGAGCCTTTCCATTTTCACAGTATCCTAACTGCAACCTGATTTTTCTTTGCAAGTATATTTACATCTATGTCCTCTGACTACAAATTGTTCCTTTCTACTTTTCAAATAAGGTACTTGAAGTAGGTTCTTCTCACTCCCACAGTCCTCAAATCTAGTGGAGATACAGAACTACAGCCAATGGGTCCTGGAACACGTAGCCCCAGCACTGAGAATATTGAGAATATATTGAGACTTCGGTGATAGTAGGGGGAGGGCAGGAGACAGCCAGGTACTTCCTATTTGGTTTGCAGTATAAAAACGAGCAGGAGGTGCTTTTGACAAGAGCTCTACCCTCCTCTTATTCCCCCTTCCTAATCCCTAGCATCTTACACCCAATAAAATACTTGTGGAATGAAATAATAGTATGCAATATAGGTAGGAATTGCCATCGAATCATACTGCTTTGTATCTGGGTCCTAGCTTAACTAGACTCTTGGGAGCAGAACGGTACATATAGTTTTTAAACCAATGCATTTAGTACCTAAGAAGGTAACCACATCCGTATGGTAAACTTGACTTGGACCAAATTTTAATCTCCCCGGGAATTAGCCACAAAGCAGAGAATGCTCCCAGACAGTAGGGAGTAGTAGGGAGGCCAAGTAGAGTATTGTGTACATAACACAAGAGTTCCAGTCTGTGCTTGTCACTGGAGCATCTGTTCTTACGACAGCATGCCACAGCTGTAGATGCTGAAAGGTGGCAGGAAGTCGGAAGGCTTTCTGCTTGGAAGTTTTCCCTAAGTAATCTGCATGAACTATATGGCTCCACTGGTTTTCTCGAATATTTGCAGTGTATTTGCATTAAGCAACCAGATCTTTGCCTTTTATCTCAAAGAAATCACATCCTCCAGAAGGACAGACCTGCTAACGATAGGAAACACCTGAACCTTAGCTGTCCCAGACAAAAAACCTAAGTGGCCTTCCTACAAGTATTAGTTCATACCATTGTGTGAATTAAATATCCTTACACTGAGCATAGGAAAACAGGTGCAGAGAAACAGAATCCAGGTCTGTGGCTCTACCTGGCTTTGCTTTTCTCCCATCACTACATTAAAAATGATCTCCCTTTATGTCTTAACTGTACCTTCTTGGTGCTTTTTATCTTATCTTGGAGCTGTTTTGTAAACGTGTCTTTTTCCAATTAGACCTCACATTGTAAGAAGAGGAACCATGTATTAAACCTTTATTTCTCCCCTCTCCCTGCTATCCCTTCTAAATCTCCTTTACTTTGCTTGTCATAGGAGCATCATTCATGAATAATGGTACAGAATGTGGACAAGAAATGCCATTAAAGGATGAGGATTTGGCTGTGTGATTATAGCTACAAGAGTGACCTAAACAAATGAGAGAAAGGAGTCCAGGGGCAGGTCTCTGGGCATTCTAGGTTCCTTTCATCTTGGTCTGGCTCTATTGGCCCAAGATCACTATTCCAGCCACTATGCCCAATTTTTAGGAACCAGAAAGGAATAAGGGAAGGAAAATGGATCGCCTGTCCCTTTAAGGATATTTCCTAGAAGTTGTGTATAACATTTCTGCTTACATTCCATTAGCCAGAGCTTGGTCCCATGGCTATGCCTCACTGCAAGTGAGTCTGGGAAATCTAGTCTTACCTAGATGTGTGTGTCCAGCCAAGAACCCAGTTACTTTCAGTCACTGCCCTAAGACCCAAGATCCAACTGTGGTCCCTAGCATGTTATAGCCTGCTGAGTCTGCAGCTGTCCCTCTGAGAGCACTCCTATCCATAGGTTTTGGGTAACTTGCATCTCTAACTCACCACCCTTGTATCCCAGCTTGGCTAAGTGTTCCCTCCTGATTTTAGGAAGAAAAGCCAAATGTGAACCCTCCCAATTCCAGTGCACAAATGGCCGCTGTATTACACTGTTGTGGAAATGTGACGGGGACGAAGACTGTGCAGATGGCAGTGATGAAAAGAACTGTGGTGAGTAAAGAGTTTGACAGTCTCACTTGCCACCTTACTAGGACTTGTGCATTTTATTGAAATGTGATGGTTATCTTAGTTCCTACAAATGTATTGAGATTCTGAAAATAGAATCCACTTCAAAGAATTGCTTTGAACCAGAGTCCAAAGATTCTATACTTTCTGGTCTAGAGGAATGTAATTGAATGTTTGACATGGAGTTATCAACTTGAGTATGGAATGTTGAAGATAAAGTGGAGTCCCTTTCAAATGACAGCTCCTGGTTTATCTGAGATCAGGCAAACATTTGGTATAGGCAGCTAAGGGAAGGGAGGGGAGGACCAGAAGTAGAGACAAAGAGAAGATTGCTTAGAACAGAAAAATTCCTTTTTTTAATTCTCAAATGGCTCTGATTCCAAAAAAGAAAGAAAGCCATGTACAGCAAGAAATCCCCTAAAGTTTCAGGGGGTTAATTAACTCCTACCATAGAAACTACAAGCCAGCACAGAGCAAAGATCAGAAAAGGATTCTTTTTTAATTTTCTGCCTACAATAGATGCTAATTCTAAAGCATTAGGCGGAGTGGAAGACATTCTTTCCCCAAGAGAATGAGGGTATACCACCATACCCATTGATCAGCATCTGTCAAAAGATCATTGTTAAGAAATGCCTGTTTATGCAATCTATATAACTTCGTGTCAAGCCAGAACACCTGAGAACTACATGTAAAGATGGCATTTAAGTACCTTGAATACATGCTGAAGATTGCTTTATGATTTCTTTGTGCTATGTTATAAAAATCCTGAAACAATATTGTGAATCTCAGTGATAACATTGTCATTTGCCTTTTAAAAGATGTTATATAAAGATGTCTACTATACAAACTAGGAATACACAAGAAAAATAGGAGCTAACTGTAGATTTCATCAACTGCCATCTTGTTATTCCCTTACCTATTTCTTTATGCATCATTACTAAAATGTTATAGCATAAACGTCGTGGCAGACTGCCATATGCTTGATTTCTCAGAGTAATATCATAGATATTTTCCTGCCAATATGTGGATTAGTAGCTCCTTTGGAAGCATAGGAAGTCCATTCTACAGTCTCAGGGAAGAAACTTATCTCCAGTCTCAAGACCAAGGCTAGTTCTCCTATGCAACACTTTTCCATCATTGCATTCTAACATGAAGATTTTAATCTACTCTACAAGACATTGAGTTGCATGCTATTTCTGGGTTACCTAGGTAATATAATTTCCTCCCTAAATATCTCACTAGAAGGACCTCACTCTTGTCACCTGTTCTCTTCGTGTAAGAAGCAATTCTTCCTCTATTCTAAACTATATATTTGGCAAGACCTATTATTTTTTCTTAGAAAGTAATTATTCTCTTCATTATTTTGGAGGTCTTCTTTTACCATCTGACTAACTCAGAAACTAAATCGGGTCATCTTAGGAGTCATCACTGACTTTTCCTAAAGTAGTCTCTGCATAAATAACCTCTAGCCACATGGCAGGAGGATTTGGAAAAGTTAAGGAGGTAGATGTCTATACAATCAAGATCACACAAGGTGGGAAAAGCTAAATATATTCTTGGCCAGCATTTGTCTCTGCCTCCAGGTGCGAAGGTAGAGAAGGAAAGTGGGAGCATTGCTCAGGGAAGCTCAGAATGCTTGTTTTGAAATGTTCCTTCATGGAAGGGAAAAGCTACACAATTACTTAAAACTTATAAAGCCACTTCCTATTTTTCATGTCCAACCTTTTGATATTGAACTTGGTTACAATTTCAGCAGGGCTTTCTTTCAAGCATGTCAACTAGCATATTTAGTCCACTTCAGCTTGGATTCCACAAGCCATGTGTTTCTGTGGGTCCCAGTGACTCATTTTTTTTTAATAAGTGTTAGGCTGAGCTGATTAATCAGTAACTTAGATACCCCAAGTGTGTAACTGGTAGTTCTCTTGCCCTGTGGCACATCTAAATTTCTATCCATCTCTCAAGGCCCAGTTCAAATAGCCTTTCTTGACCTTCCCAGTCTATGCTCAGAATGGAGAGAGATGAATTCTAGTAATTTGTTCCGATTTATCTCTTGGTCAAACACTTTGTAGAACAGCCGGTCTTTCCTATCCCTGTAACACTTTATACTTAAAATCATGTGGTCTCTTTACAACCATTCCTTACTCCCTCTTTTGCAACTTCTGACGAGTATCACAGGTTGAATTACAGCAACTAACTCTGCAGACCCTCTGGCATCTTTCTACATGCTCAGAAGAACATGGGCCTTGGAGACGGCTTAAACCATTCACACTGGGGTTTGAGTATTTCAGTGATTTTAGAAACAGGTATGAATTAAGAGCTAACGTGGCTGTTCTTGTTTCCTTGGTTCCACAACTCAAGGAGATGAATAATGCTTTTCAGGTCATCATAATTCGTCATCTCATCTTGAGTTCTAGAAATTGACTACAATCACTCTCTCCCCCCTTTACAATACCTGAGACTAAACCAGAGTGACTGTCTAGTTTAATGCACTCTAAACTCTGAGAGTTGTACCTAGCTTAAACCCATGACTTAAAGTTGTCGCTTTCAAATTTTCAGCAAAAGTTGTTGGCTTTTAGCTGATTTACCATTACAGAATATTTGTTAGAGAAGAATATTTTAAACTGGAAATTCAGGTAGAAAGTATAGGCTCATGGGCAAGGAAGACTACAGTTTGAGAAGGATGAGCCTAGAATACCCTATGTGGCTACTTAATCAAGACACCTCTTACTCTCTGCGTTCCTCGTGGGTAGGGTGACCAAGCTGCCTGGTTTGCTTAGGACAATCTTGTTTTATGGTTATCTTCCTGGTATAATTAATAGTGCCCCCTTTCTACTGAGATTGTCCCAATTTGGACAACAAATTTCACGGTCACCCTAATTATAGGAGAAAAGGCCTGCCCTAGGTAGAGTTTGTAGCAGATTTGGTACCTTGTCTTAGGCCATTTTAACTCGAGTAGTCAATTATGGCTATTGGCAGCTTCCACAGCAACTTCAGTGACTTTTAGCTGGTTGATGTTAGGCCATCTTTTGGATTCTAAATACGACTTCTCTTATTCTCGGGCTTCAGCTTTCTCTATTTCTTACTAGGTCGATTCCTCTGCCCCAATAGACCTGTAGGGGTGACAATATCCAGTACAGGAGCTTAGCCTTCTATCTCTACACTAAACCTATGTGTTGTTAAGAGATGCCCCTACAACAGTTATACTGTGATCCAGTCATAGGATGGAATGTTTGGCTAGTAAACTTAAGACGTACTTGAATGACTTGGAAGAAATCCATGAAGAGAATTAAACTATTACTTAATCTCAACATTGTAAAACAGGCAAGGAGTTAATTGTAGGGTATCCCTGGTTCGTAAGATAATGGGCAGTCTTTGTCTCACCTTGACTTCAGTATCCTCCAGGTCTCTCAAATGAGTATCTTCCTCCTTTAGAAGGAAAAAAAAGGATTTTTCTAAGGTTCTCCTGGATATTGGCAGTTGAGTGCTAATTGACTCGGCTTCATTTTTAGAGTAAAACATATCAATATGCAGTTTTACCGCCAATGGGAACATAGGGCTCTTGGGTAAGTGACTTCAACTTTAACCCTGCAAATAAACTTTTTTAGTGAAGAAGACATGTGCTGAGTCTGACTTCGTGTGTAACAATGGCCAGTGTGTTCCCAACCGATGGCAGTGTGATGGGGATCCTGACTGTGAAGATGGTTCTGATGAAAGCCCAGAACAGTGCCGTGAGTGTGACTTGCTTTGGACTTCAGCATGGACTTTTTCCATGCTGTTCTGTGTCTCATAGCTCTAAATATTGCTTAATCTAAAACTTGGTGTTAGTTTTCCTTTGCCTACCTTAAAGTGTAGGCCCATTGACTCCAAGGTCAGTCAAGTCATTAACAGTTGATCTGTGTCCTTTAAAGAATGTTCTCCCTACTCGAACAAGACTGACGTTCTCTTGGGTAGCTTCACTATTGAATATTTAAGACTGAAGCCAGCAGATTTGATTAAGAACTCCTTGACTAGGTGCATAGATTTCAAATGTTTGATAGTAATGACTCTGAGCAGATGGTACTCTGGTCCTGGAAGCTAAGTCAAGATGTAAGGGTCCCCCATGGGCCAAGTATAAGCTTTTAGATGCACAGCTTCTCCTGTTATGAAAATAATCTATTACCGAAGGGGTAAGATGGCTAGAAATAGGATGATATAGTGATTTTTAACAAACGTGTAACCTAAAGTTATTAAAGTAGGGACCTTACGACTGGTTTTTAAATCAGAGAAACCTAGGCATGCAAATATTGTCTGTGTCCTTAGACTGATATTCAGGAAAAAGTCTATGAGATCATATAGGAGGCTGATTTGGGACAGATAAATTGGGATCACTCGAATGTCATGGTGAAGTCTTGGAGTTCATTTTGAGGCAGTGGAGGGCTGCTGAAGCACTAAGTGGAAGTCTAACATGAACAAAGTTTAGGTCTGAAATATGATTACAAAAGAAAAGCAAGCAGAAAGAAAGATAAGTGTGTTAATTTCAGTTTTCTAGGCAAGAAGTTAGGGGAGTAATAAGAACATTGGTCAAGGCAGGTGAGCTAACCACAGGTACAGGCAGGTTTCCTACATATTCAACCCCAAGTTTTAGTGAAAGATGTCCCCGTTAGGTCAGAATTAGGGAATGTCCCTACTTTGCAAGATGTAAATCTAAAGGAGGTTGCGAAGGAGGCCTGTAAAGGAATCTAGGCAAAGGAAGATTTCATAGGTGTTAGACCATCTGGCCTTTAATGAAGTTGGGATTAGGTGACGATATCTAGGTGTGCCACTTGATATCCAAGAGATAAATGCTGGTCAAGGAGCAGGCCAGCCAATAAACCGAACTATGCCAAGTAAAACAAAAGCCAGAACTGAGTACGCCATGGAAACTTGAAGGAGTAACACGGTCAAGGCCCCTAGGTATACTGCCAAGTAGTATAGGTTGGCATGACTTCTAAGCAATGGAGCTGGCAAAGGATCTCCTCAAGCTTCAGATAGTAAGTCACACTTCACCAGTATGCCAGGCCACTGAGTCACAGGTGTCACCACTTCCAGGCAGCGCAGGAGCAGCAGCTTTGCACTGATGAGTTTGGAGGCTCTTTTGAGACTGTATATCGTCAACAGATATGAGAACATGCCGCATAAATGAAATCAGCTGTGGCGCCCGTTCTACTCAGTGTATCCCAGTGTCCTGGAGATGTGATGGTGAAAATGATTGTGACAGTGGAGAAGATGAAGAAAACTGTGGTAAGGAGATCAGTGTTGAGTGGCTTATCCCAAAGACCCTTTTTCTCAAAGAAGGGTGGGCAAGGGAAGCGAATTTAAGCATGAAGATGCAGTTACATTGACTCGCTTTTCAGTGACTTCACTATCTGCTCAACTACTTGGCCTTCCTAACTGCCCTAAAACTCTGAAAGAGGTTCACATGGTAATTGACCATTGAGCTTTGGTGTTTTCTTCTAAGCAAATAGAAATAAGAAGGTAAGTCATTCAAGGCACTTATATTTAGAAGTAGCTCAGTGAAGCAGCAATTGTGGGCTTTTGTCTCTGTTAGGACAGTAACTCATGAGCCTTCCTCACTTTGGCTCAATAAAACTAGAAGGGGACTAGGTTCAGCAAACACATTCCTAGGTCTAAACTGGATCTGCTTATTGGAATAAATTACTTGAGTATTAGACAAGTATTTCTCAGCCCCAAAACTAGATTCTATTTTAACCTTTCCAAAAGTTAAACTGGCACAGAAGTGTTCATTAACGTCTTGCTAGCAGATACCTAAAGAAAATTCTACCCAACCAGTGGTACTTTCATCTCCTGTCACAGTTCCTGCCTATAAAAGCTAACTCTGTTTCCTATCCTTTCATGTTTCTGTTCTTGGAAAATGCGCAATAAAATGCTACTTGTTAAAGGTGAGGCCCTGGGAAAATCTCTAGGTTGAACAAACATTGCTTTGAATGTTCTGTCAAGCTCCCGCCCTTTTATAGGGCCTCTGAAACTACAGCTCCCAAGTCTGACAAGCACGGGCCTCCTGATGCAGTAGTGTACAAGTGAGCTGAGGGCACCTGCAGTTGAAACAAGTCTTGTGTGTATAAGTCACCTTCTAAGGTCAAAACCACTGCACCTAGTCCAATGAGTTTTGGTGTTCAATCCTAGAATCGAGCTTTATGTATTGGTAAGCCCTGGAGCTGCCAAATGTTTCCCTCTTAAATCTAGACTTGGCTTCCCAAGAGAGTCGTGGTCTCCACCCTAATTACCACCAAATTGTGACCTTAATTCATTTGGCAGGAATTTGAGTCAAAGTACAAACTGCCTAGCCTGACTAGCTTATCATTATTGGCATACCTGGCTGCTAGATTGTGATTCTAGTCCTAGCAGTGACTTTCAAAAACTTGAAAGTATTTAAGACCAGGTCTTAATACTTCCTGATCCTCATTTGAAGGACCAAAAGAAAAGAAACCATGTATGGTGGTGTAACATAATGGCTTCTTTTCAGTGATAGTGTCATAATGCTTATTATGAGTATATGTTTGCCTGTATTCCTGATGCATGATAGTCTCAGCTAATGATGTGGCCTGGTCTGATAAGCAGTATGTCCATTTAAAAATAACTCAGTCTCTGCCTTGTTATAGTTTAAGTTATCATTCACTGTCCCTTAAAGAGTCACTTGTGGTTCTCATCTCAAATTAATTTCTAGTCTTCACCTATTTTCTGGATCTTTTATTTCTGTTCTTATTCAAGTATCCCTGCATCTTTTACAGGGTGAGACTGTTTCCTAGCATTCCAAGAACTTGGATATTGATATAATTCCACTTTAGCTTTTAAGTTAAGCTAGAAAGCTAGGATTCATGATCAAAGATCTACATGTTGGATTTTGGGACAAGAATCTTGAAAGGGGGCCGGCCTGGTGGCGTAGTGGTTAAATTCACGTGCTCCACTTCGGCGGCCCAGGTTTCTCATGTTTGGATCCCAGGCATGGACCTACGCACTGCTTATCAAGCCATGCTGTGGCAGGCATCCCATATAAAGCAGAGGAAGATGGGCACAGATGTTAGCCTAGGGCCAATCTTCCTCAGCAAAAAGAGGAAGATTGGCAACAGATGTTAGCTTGGGGCTAATCTTCCTCACCAAAAAAATAATAATAAAATAATAATAAAAAAAAAAAAGAGTCTTGAAAGGACCAGTCCTGATACTCTCTCACTCGAGCATCCTCTCTCTCACTAGGCAACATAACGTGTAGCCCTGATGAGTTCACTTGCTTCAGTGGCCGCTGCATCTCCAGGAATTTTGTGTGCAATGGTCAGGATGACTGTAACGATGGCAGCGATGAGCTGGACTGTGCCCCACCGACCTGTGGCGCCCACGAGTTCCAGTGCAGCACGTCCTCCTGCATCCCCAACAGCTGGGTGTGTGACGATGATGCAGACTGCTCAGACCAGTCGGATGAGTCCCTTGAGCAGTGTGGCCGCCAGCCAGTGATACACGCCAAGTGCCCGGCCAGCGAGATCCAGTGTGGCTCTGGCGAGTGCATCCACAAGAAGTGGCGATGTGACGGGGATCCTGACTGCAAAGACGGCAGCGATGAGGTCAACTGTCGTAAGTAGCTCTCTTATCCGTATGGCATGTTCAGTTCTCTTCCATGTGTCAACTGGGGACAATTTGGCTGGCTTCATTCCATGGTGTTCCCTCCCTTTGTAGCTTCTCGAACCTGCAGACCTGACCAATTTGAGTGTGAGGATGGTAGCTGCATCCACGGCAGCAGGCAGTGTAATGGGATCCGAGACTGTGTTGATGGTTCTGATGAAGTCAACTGCAAAAATGGTAAGGGTCTCTTCTTGTGGGTGAGTCAAATAACTGCTCTGATCAGACCCACTAATGGAGTGTCTCTTCTGTCTTTCTCTTGGTAGTCAATCAGTGTCTGGGCCCTGGAAAATTCAAGTGCAGAAGCGGGGAATGCATAGATATCAGTAAAGTTTGTAACCAGGAGCAGGACTGCAGGGACTGGAGTGACGAGCCCCTGAAAGAATGCAGTAAGTGAAGGGGTTGCTTGAGCACAGAGTTGGGAAGGTTAATTAGATCCAGCATAGCTAGTGCTGTTTGGACCCTGCGTAAGACCTGGTTCAGCTACCTTTAATGAACTAAGTTCAATTGTCAGGCTTAAGAGTGAAATTTTATGACTTAAAAACCCAGCCAGTGACAAACTAGTTCATAGTTTTACCTCCTTAAAGGTAAGTGACCAGCAGTAGAGAAACTTGACTAAATACTGCTTAACCAACTGGTAACTTGCCAAGAAGATTAGGTTTACTATTCCCCTAATATGCTCTGAGATGCATATCTGTAAAACAAATTATTAGATCTTAGAAAAATCATGAGTTTGACCAGACTAACTAGATAAGTTATCACAAATAGCCTGGATTTTACATGTTAATAGAATAAATATCCATGTGGAATAAGTTGTCGAGTAACTCAACGACATTTTTATTTCAGATGTGAATGAATGCTTGGTTAATAATGGTGGATGTTCCCATATCTGCAAAGACCTAGTTATAGGCTACGAATGTGACTGTGCGGCTGGGTTTGAACTGATAGACAGAAAAACCTGTGGAGGTGAGTCAAAGAAGAGAACCTAACCCTGGGGGTGATGGGAGAGATCAGTAAATATCCAGTAAGATAGAGGAATAGCAAGACTAATTCTAATTTCCCTCCTAGATATTGACGAATGCCAAAATCCGGGAATCTGCAGTCAAATTTGTATCAACTTAAAAGGCGGTTACAAGTGTGAATGTAGTCGTGGCTATCAAATGGATCTTGCCACTGGCGTGTGCAAGGCAGTAGGTAAATGGACTTGGACTGGTGTTGCTCTGGTACCTTTATGAGTAAGTGCTTATGAAAGGTACAGCCAGTGACTACGATAGTCAACATGAAATTAAAATAGCACTTGAGAGCAATGCTACCAACCTCACAGTGCATATCATAGGATACATAGCAGATCATTTCCCCAGACACCAGCCTTGGTCATTCCTTTTGCATATGATGCCATGAATACCTACCAGGTTTGCTTACTTTTGCTTCTGAAACTTGAGAGCAATTCAAATGAGTGACTTATTCATCAGCTGCCCTATTGTTGAATGCTGTGACCCCCAAGACTGCCTGCAAGACTGGAAGTGCTCGCAGGTCCCAGGGGCACGGACTCCAGCAAGAGTACTCCTGAGGTGTTCAGCAGTGCCGTCACTTTTCAAGTGCTCCTCTGTTGGGAGGAGGTGACTTAGAAGGACCTTGCCTTCTTACAGCGAAACTAAATAAACCTGACTTCTGTCTTGCAGGGAAAGAACCAAGTCTGATCTTCACGAATCGAAGAGACATCAGGAAGATTGGCTTAGAGCGGAAAGAATATATCCAACTGGTGGAACAGCTAAGAAACACCGTGGCTCTTGATGCTGACATTGCTGCTCAGAAACTGTTCTGGGCTGACCTAAGCCAAAAGGCCATCTTCAGGTAACTTTCCATTCCGTTCTTGGTGTCTTGGCATAGAAGTCATTGTCACTTGGCCTATGGGAAGGTTTGAAGGAGTTTATCTTGTCTCTAGCTCCAATCTAGCATCCAGTTACCTGGAAACATTAAATCTAAATACTGATTCTTTAACTATTAAATTACTATCAGTTCCTAATTAGAAACTAACGATTGTCTATGAAGTAAAAGATGGCTATAGCTGTAAGATTATAACAGAGGACATCTTAATTTCTCATATTTTCTCCCCTTTCCCCTACAGTTACTTAAGAACTGTTCATTGTTGCTACAAATAGAAATGGTAGTGGCAGCTTTTTCTTACTGGAAACTATCGAAACTCAGATGAAGGCTACTGAAACAAATAGCTTTACTTAGAAGCCCGTTGTTCTTGTATGTAGAATACATACCAGCAACTAGATAACCTACAGTATTATTAATTTAGTATCAGTAAGCAGCATAGTTAAATAATTTGAATGACGAGCTATGGTGTTACTAAGGTTCTTTCTGAACAAAGTTGTTGACCGTTTTGTAAGCAGAAAGTCCATTCTCCAGGCTCTGATGGTGTCAAAACTCTTAAATTTCTTGTGACCTATTCTGTTTCAGTGCCTCAATTGATGACAAGGTTGGTAGACATGTTAAAATGATCGACAATGTCTATAATCCTGCAGCCATTGCTGTTGATTGGGTGTACAAGACCATCTACTGGACTGATGCGGCTTCTAAGACTATTTCAGTAGCTACCCTAGACGGAACCAAGAGGAAGTTCCTGTTTAACTCGGACTTGCGAGAGCCTGCCTCCATAGCTGTGGACCCGTTGTCTGGGTTTGTATTCTGTGTTTTTCATCATGTAGCCTTTCGGATGCTATCTGTAGGCCAGGAGTTTTCCTCATGCCTGAAGTAGTACTGAAATCCCATGACTTAGCTCCCCACAACAAAGAATTGTCTGGTTCAAAATGTCAGAGGTGCCACGGTTGAGCAGTCCTGGGAGGGCCTCATCCATATGACGGGCCCTCCCGGGCAGTATGACTGCCGGTTGACGTTAATGAAACGATGCTTCTGGTTAGACGTACACCAAAAGCTGTCTCTGAACCCTCACCCTCCTCCGCCCACAGCTTTTACACAGGTGATTTTTAATTTTTGTCTGAACGCTTTGTCAGGTGAGCTCTGGATGATCAAACCCGAGGACTAGCTTGAATTCTGGGAATTTGGGGAACCACATTACCTCTAGGCTTTCATCTACAAGTGCTAGTTGCCTGAAAGTCCACTTGAAATAAACAGATCTCTCTAGAAACATTTCACTGAGGAGCTTCCCTAAACTGCCACTAAATAATATAGAAAAGCAGCTTAGGAAGTTGACTAAGGCTGTAGTAATCACAGTTGGCCCCCAGGAAGCCTCACTAGAACACAGTCAGCCAGCTCCTACTATAAAACCTCATAGATATTCCTCTTTCACTCCCCTGAAAGAATTGGCCTTTTATAAATGAAATATATAACCTGTGACTTGGGGCTGAAGTTTAAATGTCAGACTTATATGGATTAATATAGTTAATAATGAGCTTGTAAATTCTTAGGGTTAACTTTTGTTTACCCAAAATGTAATTTAGACCCTTAAGTGTTTCTATTTGTCTCAGAGAATCAATCTCTAGAGTTTTCTGTTTACACTGTGAACATTTGTCTCAAGCTACAACTTTATTCCTTCTAAACCACTGAGGCTTATTTCTAATTTAATTCTTCCCAGCTTTGTTTACTGGTCAGACTGGGGTGAACCAGCTAAAATAGAGAAAGCAGGAATGAATGGATTTGATAGACGGCCGCTGGTGACAGTGGACATCCAGTGGCCTAACGGAATTACACTTGGTATGTATGTTCGTCCTTCCTTGACCCCAATGCAACTGTCTTCACAGAGTTTTATTTAAGCTCCATAGTTAATTCTGGTCTACAGCAGACAACTCTCATGATTCCTTCTATAGCAGGAATTTTGGGTGAGAGTAACTGAGTAATACGAGTGGAATGGTGGACTTAACAAATTACATGCTCCATAATTACTAGCTTTTCTGTCCATTTGGGCCTAATATGTGACATAAATTTAGTGACTCTTAGGCCTTGGGAACTCTCATCCTTAATACCCCCAGCTAAGGCATTTCCTGAATTGCAGGCTTATAACAGTTTTCTTCTGGCTCATAAGACAACAACAAAATGCTAGCCTCTTTTAATACTTCTGTCATGTGAGTAACATTTCTTAAGTCAGTTACTTTGAGAATCTTAAGTACTCCTTTAGTCTCCCAAAATGAATGTGGGTCCAGATTGTACATGCTGCTTCCCAAGCTTTGTGGGACCCTGTTAAGAACCCCTGCTGGAGAAGGAACCATGAAGTAGAGTACTGGATTCCTTAGAGATTCTAAATGGAAGCCAGAGCAGTCCTGACTTAGCATCCACTGACAATTCTTTTCCTACCTAGACCTTATAAAGAGCCGCCTCTATTGGCTTGACTCCAAGTTGCACATGTTATCCAGTGTAGACTTGAACGGCCAGGATCGTAGGATAGTGCTGAAGTCTCTGGAGTTCCTAGCTCATCCTCTCGCACTAACAATATTTGAGGTAAGACGTGTGTCTCACATCCAAGTGTATACCTTTGAGTTACTCTAGCACCTTGAGGAGAAGGAACAGGCATGCCGGAAGGAGGGAAGGGCAGAAGAGCATGACTTGAGAAACTGCTTTCACTTAAAATCTGAGACAAAGTAGATACTGATTTCTTGGAGCAATTTAAGAAACCCAAACTTGCCTCTCTTACAGTTTTCCATCTAATGTCCCAAACCAGCCTTTAAATAAACTTGGTCCATTAAATTGCTGCTAAATAATGATGACCTTAGATATTGACTTATGTTAATCCTACGTGGACATGCTAATTTGGGGTTCTCTTGTAGGATCGTGTCTACTGGATAGATGGGGAAAATGAAGCAGTCTATGGTGCCAATAAATTCACTGGATCGGAGCTGGCCACTCTAGTTAACAACCTTAACGATGCCCAAGACATCATTGTCTATCATGAACTCGTACAGCCAGCAGGTAACGTGGAGAGGCAGAGCCCTTAATGGCTACTTGATAATGCTGCTTAAGGGCAGCAGCATGACATACCTGTTGGGTATCAGAGCTCTTTAACAACTCAACCTGCTCTAAAATGGAACGTTTCCCTCCCGTACCCTACCTCAAACACTTCAAACCTGGTGTTTGGTATATTTTATTTCTGACTTTCTAGTGAAAGAGCTGCAGAACTTCAGCTCTTATCTTCCCTCCCCACTCTCAGTGTTCAGTCTTTTATTTCAGTCTTTCCATATCCCCTTGGCCTTCATTCCCTCTTGCTAAGGCTATTGCACTAGCCTCCAAAGTAGCTTTTATGCCACAAACTTTTCCTACCCACCCACCTCCCTGGCCATGACACATCTTAGATAAAATCATGTAGATCCTCAAACACTTCTGGTCATATCGTCTTCTGCTCAAAATACTTGACTGGTTCTATCTCAATGAAACCTTTAAACTTCCCTATAGCTGGGTTCCTTCCACTTTGTGGGAACAAGGCAAGACAAAGCTAGGGGAACATGCTTACCTCCTTTCTCTGAGCCTTCACTATAAGCTTTGGACCAATAGTTGGGTGCCAGTCCTGGTCACTCAGCTCCTTTCCCCCTCTGCTCCCTCACCACCCATCTGCTTAAGGTGTAATTCTACTTCTGCTTCCACGGATTCTTTGGATCTGTGGTGTCCTTGGAGTATGCTGTCTGTACCCTTATATTTATTCTTCATTGGTATTGGTTTAACTTGCAAGTTTGACAGAGTAGACAAGTTTAAGCTCCCTGGGGGCAAGGACTCATGTCTTCGGCATCTAGAACAAGGCTTTATTATAAAAGGCAGTGGAATACTTATTTTAAAGGACTTTTATTTCTGAATAGGTAAAAATTGGTGTGAGGAAGACATGGAGAATGGAGGATGTGAATACCTATGCTTGCCAGCACCGCAGATTAATGATCACTCTCCAAAATATACCTGTTCCTGTCCCAATGGGTACAACCTGGAGGAAAATGGCCGGCAGTGCCAACGTAAGGCTTTTTACTTTTCAACCACAACCAGGACATACAACCGGCAATCAAATAAGACACTAACTATATAAACTAGCCTGGATTTTAAGAATTCTGTTTTAACTAACTCTTAAAATAGATTTGAGAACATATCTGCTACTATTGCATGCCAGGTGTTCATGTTATTATTCAGAACTGACTTTTAACTCATTTCAACCTTAGATGAGTCTATAGGTGACTCAAGTATCAATGTGGCTACACTGATTTGTACCTATGAGTCCCGTAACAGCACTAAGCTAGCTAAATTGCAGATAATTAAACAAAATCTTGACACGTTCCTCCAAAGAGAGAGGCCTGAAATTATGCTCAAAGAAGGCCATGGTTACTGGAAACCTCATGGCCCCAGTGGTTGACGTTAGCTTAAACTCACACTTAAACCAACTTGCATTTTAGTCTTCTGTTCTTAGCTTTTGATGAAGTGGCAAATCAAACTCACATGTTGTGAGCAAGGAACTCATATTGTGAGGTTTTTGTTAGCTTAATACTGAGTCCCTGCAGGGACTAGCTCAGTTTACTGAGAAAGTACTTGCAAGAAAATCGAGCAGTAAGACTAGTATGCCTGGTACTGTTTTTGAGAGCATTTCTTGTAACTTCCAGGAGCCTGGGACATTGCTTAGAGGGGTCATTAAGTGTGATTGTGCATCTTTTTTGAACGTTCAAATTCCAAATGCTGACCGTTCTGCCCAAAGTCTCATGTGTCTCTGGTTTTCCATGAAGACTGCTGTTTCTCTCAGTCTTGACACGTCCACCACGCAACTGAGTTCAGCAGTGGTTTGTCCATTTCCCGTGGTGTTACAATAACCCATCCCATGGCTCGTCTGGACTAAACAGCTAGCCACTCTGGAACCTTGGAATTAACCAGGTTCTTGGTTTTCATAATTCAGGTACTGCAACTACTGTGACTTACAGTGAGACAAAAGATACCAGCACAACAGAAATTGCAACAACTAGTGGACTAGTTCCTGGAGGTATTGGGTTCAGTACTGCAAACTGTTAATCTCAACTAACAGCCACAGTCTATCTACTGCTTAAATAATTATTGCAGCCTTTAACTACTAGTTCTGCCCCTGACTGGTAACCTACATTTCAACTCCAAAGACTTAGAACCTAAAAATCTTAGCCTGACCTGACTTATGAAGGTTTCTATTAGAGAACTGTTAGTGAAATGGCTATTATAGCAGGTGACTCTCAAATACTTCTAGACCAGTTGTTCCTGGTATAGAACTGGAGTGGATACTGAACATCAATGATAGATACAAGGACATGAGGCTCTCTATCAGCAGGGTAAATTTCTAAGTCTGAATTCAGATCCTCCTAAACTGATGTCTTTTATTGCCCTGTAGGGATCAACGTGACCACAGCAGTATCGGAGGTCAGCATTCCCCCAAAAGGGACTTCTGCTGCCTGGGCCATCCTTCCCCTCTGTAAGTAGATTCCCTAATTATCTGCATCCAGTGAGCTTCTTAGATACCCAATGGGCATTTCTAGTTCATGTAGAGACGCCCCATGTCCCCCCCGCTCCCCCCCAACACAGCACACTGAGTGAAGAATCCATACCTTTCCCTTCAGTGTATCCTTAGCACAGTGACTGGCAGTGATAAATATTCAGCTGTTACATGCAAGGTGCTTGTTCCTTTCTACTTCAGAGTTGTTAGCTTGACTTATCCCCTTTCACAATAAGTTCCCTTTAAGTAAAGAGCACTGTTCTATTCCCCTTTGAAATATGTATAATGTCTCATACAGAGGGGATACACAAATGTTTAAATGCTTTCTTGAGGAGTTGTAGGACTTGTAGAGGGTAAATTAAAAATAGTTAAGAATTTTCAAACCTAGGGAGAAGAACTTCTAAGCGATTATTAGACAGGTGGATTCTAAGGCACTTTGCTATAATGGCCTCTTTATCCTAAATTACTGGATTCCAAGCTTAGCTAATACACCAGGACTACTTAAAGAACTCTCCAGAAGCTTCTGCAATTTTAATTCAGTCAACCTGGGGAGGGCCCAGGACTCTACACTTGCCCAGATGGATGTGTCGTGCTTAGCACCAGTCCATAGACTAACACTTAACCACGGGTCTGAACTTGCTTCAAGCTCCTGGCCAATTTATATTCTAACTTCTAGTTACTCCAGCATCATAAAACATGAAACCTGTATTAATATCAATTATCATGGATTCCTAAATATGATCTTTTTTGTATATTTTGAGAATAGATCTGGCTTAGTCACCCTGTTTTTTTTCAGCGCTCTTAGCAATGGCAGCAGTAGGTGGCTACCTGATGTGGCGGAATTGGCAACACAAGAACATGAAAAGCATGAACTTTGACAATCCTGTGTACTTGAAGACCACTGAAGAGGACCTGTCAATAGACATTGGTAGACACAGTGCTTCTGTTGGACACACATACCCAGCAGTAAGTCAGCTTTGTGTCTTTATACACCATGGCTTGCAGTAAGACTTTTTGGAAAGGAGACCACTAATTCAAGCTATGACTGCCTGGGCTAGGAAGAGCCTTTAGGATCATGGAGCCACCAAACATGTCATCTACTACCTGGAAATTAGACAGTCTAGCCTGTTAGAACATAAGTCAGTTGATAAGCATCTGACCCATACAGAATGACAAGTAAGTCAACTTAAGGTCATATTTGATATATTTTTGGTTATAGAAACTACATGTACATGTTAACGTGAACCAAGTAGCTCCTTTTTGAACAATGAAATCAACTGCCTACTGGATACTTAAAAGTAAATTAACATATCATATATAGGAGAGTTGGCTTAAAGTCGGTGAATTTATCAAGATTCATTTAGCCCAAATTACCAAATGATTACAAGTGTCCTATCCCACCTAGTATAGCTAGCTTTTCTTTCAGCAGTAGAGTCAGTCATTCATTCTTCAGTTGAAACCCAAATGGAGTATTTGGCCTTCACTTAGGGAACATGCTGAATAACACGATACTCAGGACTCTCTCTCAAGCCCTCTCAAACAAAGAATGGTGACCAATTCGTGGCACACGTGTCTTTTCACATTTTTCTCAAGGACTTAAGATCATTAAATGGAAAAGGCAGAGTCAGTCACACTGTTTTCTCTCTCTACCAAGTAGATACAGTTGAATTCAAGTTAAAATGCATTAGTGATAACAACTCAATACTGTTTTGGATCTGACTTCCCTTCTGTGCACCCTTGGTCTCTGAATGACCAACTCAAAAGCAAGGTCCATTTTACAGACTGGAGTTGCTACCAATGAGTAATCACCAAGCTCATTCCATACTTTTTCTTTTCCACAGATATCAGTTGTAAGCACAGACGATGATCTAGCTTGACTTCTGAGACAAGGCTTGACCTTTGAGGTCTAAACCAATAATACCCCCCTTCGGAATGGTAACCGAGCCAGCAGCTGAAGTCTCTTGCTTCCTCCAGCCTGGAAGAATGTCAAGATATCTTTGTGTGGATCAAGCTTGTATACTTGACTGTTTTTATATTACTTTTGTAAATATTCCTGTCCACATTCTACTTCAGCTTTGGATGTGGTTACCAAGTATCTGTAACCCTTGAATTTCTAGACAGTATTGCCACCTCTGGCCAAATATGCACTTTCCCTAGAAAGCCATATTCCAGCAATGAAACTTGTGCTATAGTGTATACCACCTGTACATACATTGTATAGGCCATCTGTAAATATCCCAGAGAACAATCACTATTCTTAAGCACTTTGAAAATATTTCTATGTAAATTATTGTAAACTTTTTCAATGGTTGGGACAATGGCAATAGGATAAAACGGGTTACTAAGATGAAATTGCCAAAAAATTTGTAAACTAATTTTGTATGTGTGAATGAAATCTTTGACCTCAATGGAGGTTTGCAAAGACTGAGTGTTCAAACTACTGTACATTTTTTTTCAAGTGCTAAAAAAATTAAACCAAGCAGCTTAACCATGGTTTGTGCCTATTCCTCTAGGATAAACTTTTATAAACAACCTGCGTGGTATCACGTGTTCTAACGACATATGTGAGCTATGGATCTTGATATTGTATAACTAAGCCTATAATTTGGCTAGTTTCTCTTACAACCAAGTACTAAAAGAACAAGGTACCACTTAATATTTGTTCCCCTGAACATTTCTTATTTTGTAAAAGAAGCTAGCTTAGCCTGTACCTAGAATTCCTCTTGCTAAGAAGAAAGTTCCTTTTCTCATTAGTTTCCTGATCTAGAAACATATGCTAAGATTTCTATCAATTCTTCTTCTTCATGCTCAAGTCTCTGTTTTCCATGTTTTATCATCATATATCATTCAAGGACAAGTGCCTTCTAAAGCATGGGAAAGGACTTTCTTCTCTTACAAGTCTAGACAGTCTACCACAAAGAGAGCTAGGGAGGTAACTAGTAGTGCCATTTCTTGAACAATCTAAAACAGTGGTTCTCAGCGGGGTTAGGGTTAGCATCTGTATCACCTGGGAACTTGTTAAAAATGCAAATTCTCAGGCCCCATTTCAGACTTGCTGAATCAGAAACTGGAAGTGGGGTCCAGGAATGTATTTTCACAAGCCCTTCAGGTGATTCTGATGTAAACTAAAGTTTGAAAACCACTATTCTAATGTGACTTCATGGAGAATCTGTAATATGTCCTAATTTTTCAGCCTGGCTGGCATAGGATGGATTCCTTCTATGGACAATTTCTGAAACGTTTAGTGTGAAGAACAGATAAGGAATTGGGGTAGAAGAAAAGGAAGCACAGGGCTTTAGTAAGTTTTTCTCAGATTGAGCATTACTTCCTTTCTCTAAAGTCTCAGGATGCCAGCAAGCAAGGGACGATGTAAGGCTTGAAGCCCTGGGAAGATGCTTTAAATCCAAAGCAAGGTAGGGAGTCCACTGCACAAGGTGCAATGATTCCTCTGGGGGTTAAATGACCAACGCAGTAGCAAAAGGATGAAGAGAAGACATTTTGAGTAGCTAAATGGATCAATGGATGACTCATATTCCACTTGCATATGGAATATAAATAAGGCAATTGACATCTTCCTTGTGGCTTAGGCAAAGAGATCAAAAATCCTAGATGAAGTAGCTTCTGTCATCTTGTTTAATGGATACCTTCTTGTGATTTTGGTCAAATGGATGAAAGTGAAAAGACAGGCATGGACCCTTTTTTGTGGGAGATGTGGAGGTCAAGTATGTAGAAAGAAAAGGCTGTAGTCCTGAAGGTAGGACTCGCTGCTGTCCACCTGTTGCTTCCTCTTCAGATAGTCGTTACACTCAACAGGATGTGGCGTGCTAACATGGGGTGTCCGAAGTGCCTATCTGATAAGTAGGTTAGCATTCATCATCTCTAAACTCTGAAGGCCATTTGGTTGATTGATTGGTACTTTGACCCTGCTATGGTACAAAATCCTGTGATTTATTTTTTTAATTGGAGCAATGCAAAACTTTCTCCTAGGAAGCTTAAAGATACCAGTGTTTCCCCATTACAAGGATTGTACTGTATAGTTTTAATCAACTATAATGTCCAAAGTCGTAGTTTTTAAGAACAAAAATCAAGCATTATTCTCCATCATCTTTTCTTGGATTCCAGTCCTAGTGTTCCTTCATGTTCTAGATCCCAATGTCCAACCTTCAGAGAGTCTAAAGCATCTCATTCTTTTACCTCGCCCTCCCCAGTAAGTAGCCGAGGACAGAAACTCTAACTTAAGAGGTACAAACTCACTTGAGGAAATAAGTAACTAGGTATTTCTACTGTAATAAGAATAGTTATATGGCTAGTCAATTCAGCTTGCAATAATAGTTCATGAGGGACTAGAGCCTTGGGCTTCAGTATCCAAACAAGAACTTGAAGAATCCTGTGTGAAACATATTGGCATGAGGTTGCTGTGCCTCTAGAGTGTAATGTAGGAGATGAGAACTAGTGAAGAGGTAAAATATGAAGCTTATCAAACTCTAAAGGAGGATGTTTGGAGTTAAATGAGCCTGTCATACAAAGTGGCTGAAAGTGGGTCCTCCAGAGACTTTAGGAATTGCTACAAAGAATTGATGATAGATGAATAAACAGATTTGTGGCACCTGGTAAAGAAATCCAGCCAAGTCCCTGAGTCCAAATTTTTAAGTGGCCTTTGCAAGCTATTTGGCAAGAAATAGTTCCAGTAGTTCAACCAACTCCCTTAAAACATTCTTATAGCTATTTTAAAGCCTTGGTATTGTTTCCAAGCCTATGGTGTCCCATTCTTGATTAACACAAGGCAAAAAGATTGAGGCTTCAACTTTGGCACTTGCTTCTGTTCCTTATGTCTTAAGTCAGATAGCCCCTTCTCAAAATATGAGAAGACAGGCTTTAAATAGCAAAGCTATAGGGCATTTAAAGGACTAACTCTTCAGTTAAGAACACTTAGAAATGGGAGATCTAACTAAAGTATACCTTTAATATCCTCACCCTCAACCAAAAGATTCTGGTGGAGGGTATTCCTGTATCATGTAATCTACCTGGAGTAATTGCCTAGAATCCTTACTTAGTGAAGCAGTTTATTTTGAACTCAACTGGAAGCTAGAATCCTTGCTTTTAATGATAGGGAAACTCACAAAAAACATACACCATTTGGCCATGATAACTTAGGTCCAAGAATGAACACTACAGTCTGCTCATCTTGATCACTGAATTTGAGCCCCTCAGTTTCATAATCAAGCGTTCAGCCTGACTCTTTGGGAAAATTGAGAACTGTATGTCCACGTCATCATGGACCTAAACTGTGGAAGTTTAGGAATACTTACAAGTAGAAAAAGTCTTCAAAGTCAGCTTGTTTTCAAATAGAGGGGGAATGAATTTGAAGATTAAACAATGGCATTTTTTTTACTTATTTTTCTCAAATCAAGCATGGGAGTTTTCAAATCCAAAGCCAGCTCAAAATAGCTTCAAGTGAAGAGTAATCAGCCTTCTTTGTACCTCATACCTCATTTCCATCTACTTTCAAACATGAAAAGCTGAATGCGAGTTAGCAGGGAGATTCTGTGTGTGAAGTTTGGGGATGCATACATAAGCTACTAAGAAACAGGTCACAGCAGTGTCCCATCTCTATCGTGTCTCCTGAATCTGTTTAGCATTTTCGAGCCTGGCTCATCTGAGAAACAGGAACAAAGTGGCACCATTGACGGCCCCCTCATAAATCTCCTTCCATCCATGGACACTGAGGCAGGAGCAAGACAGGCTGAGGGTGGGGGTGAGGGCTCTGGGGGTCACCCTGTGGTATTTCAAAAACAGTTTTCCTCTTCACTATGCTTACAGGAAAAGTCAGACTAACAGCACAGACTTCTGTGTCAGTCTTGCATGTGGTACCTTGGGCAAGTTCCTAATCCCCTCTGTAATGGAGATGACGGGGACTAGCTCGCCGTGACATGTGAGAAGTGAGAATGCACACGAAGAGGTCAGCACAGCATCTGGCATTTAGTAGGTGCAAGGCAAATGTCACTGCTAAATATCACTCTCAGTGATATGCCTCTGTATTTATTGTGGCACAGTCTAGAAACTGGTGAGTGACCTTACCAGTGAGAATTACAGGTAACTTGACTGATTATTGCCTGTTGCATACATTAGACCTTGTCCCAAGCATTCTCCACTACACCCGTCTGATGAGATCTAAGTCTGTAATTGATTTAGTGATGATAGCACCTTTATATAGTTAAAAAGGCCTCACGGTTTAAACCCTACAAACAGCTGGTATGTTTCTGCCTCAACCTTTTGACTTTACTACCTGGGACACAGAAACAAATATCTGGGGCCTGCACAGTCTTTGGATGGCAGGTAAAGCACTTTGAATCTCCCTTACCTTCTTACCATATGCATAATAAGATGCTAAATAACACTCATATATATTTTATTTGATCTTCACAACAACCTAAATAGGTAAGTATTCTCTCCATTTTATAGATGTGAAAACTGAGGCTACAAATGATGTGTGATTGCAAACCCTATGTGCTTACTGCCATCTCCTTTCAGAAAAAGAGGCAGAACTGTGTCACAGTTAAGTTGGATGTCATGTTAATGTTTGCTGAGTCCCCTTTACTGCTCACTTAGGATGCCTCAGCAGTTTCTCAGATGCCCATAATGGCTGGCTTCCACTATGGCAGCCTACTGGAAGGGTAATGCTAGCACAGTTACATCGGGTCAGCACAGAATAACTTTGTTAGTTATGTGTCATGTCTACAAGATGCTAGAAGGTCCAGAATTATTTTCCTTGGCCATCTATGTGAAGCAGAAGTAGATTCCTGGATTGCAACGTAGAAGACAAAGATTCCCTAAAGGAATTTATAAACATGCAACATCGTTCCTGTGTATAAAGATAATTGGGGAAAACAAGCTGTAACACAACAAATCTTAAATTTTAAGGCTCTCATAAGGAGAGACTTCCCCAAGAAGACAGGAAGAACTGTGACTTGTGTCAAGTGAGTGATGATGCTGTAACTCCAGCACTGGATCTTAGGTATTCTGGAATCTACCCCTGAGACCTGGGTATTTCTCAATTGATACACATGCACAGGGGGAAAAGAATTCTTTGAACAAAATGACTGGCTTTGACAAAACTATCTTGCCCTTTTCAAAATATCTCTAAGAGCATGTAATGCCTGAGGAGTCCAGAGCATACAACCAGATTATCACGCTCAGGATCTTCAGAATTCTAGAGGCACATGTTGGAACACATCTAGTCCTGCTGTGGACAAGCATTTTTCTTCTATTAACGAACTGTACATCTTAAATAAAAGTTTATTTTTGAGATAACTGTTGTGAGCCTTTCCTTTTTCTCGGGAACTTTTTAAAAATCTTTCACTCAGCTCTTTCTCTTTGTCTCAACTGCATCACTGAAGATGGCTCAGTCACCCCTTTCTGGCAAACAACTAGAGCCGCCCAGATCTGGACTCGTCAAGCTGAAAGAATGAGAGATATTCCCCTTCTTGCCACAG